CGTGGATGGTAATATATGGACCTCGTCGGGTGTTAGTGCGGGCATGGATTCTGCCCTTGCATTTGTTCAGGAGGTCTATGGTGCAGATCAGGCAAAAAAGATTGCTGCAGAGTTGGAATACGAAAGACATGAAGATCCTTCCTGGGATCCATTCGCAAAGATGTACAATTTGCCCAAAGAGGGGATTTAGTAGTAGATTGAATCCTTAAAAACGTAGTCGCGCGTACTTACTCACTGTATTTTTTGCTTCACTCAACTCACTCGATATTGCAGCTACGGGGATGGAACGGGGATGTCAGTGTGAAGGAAATAGAGCAATGAACGACGTGACAGAAAGCAGTGGGTCGGCGCGTATGGTTTCTTACAGTACTTAGAATTCGTTCGGATTATTCTGTTTAGCGACCCCATTGTTGCCAACAGCCCCAGTCGACAATCCCTTTAAACACCGAGTCACACCGGAAGTCACATCGGAGATTGTATGGCCATCCTATGAGTCCGAAGACTTCGAGTCCTCATCCCCTGACGAGGCCAAATGTCGAAATTTAGGCCAAAACATGCACGACTCGGAGTTGTGATGACCTCTCTGAGGCCCCCCGAATCTTCACAGGAAGATGTTGGTGAGGATTGGGAAGGAGACTCGGCGAAATCCGTGGTGAGCTGATCATCTTCAAATAAACCCGGGGCCAGAGTCACACTAAATCGTACACTAAATCTGCGGAACCAAGCTTGCAAGCAGCACATAGAATGTCGCATTCCAAATCATATCCACAGAACCACAGCATGCTTCAGAAGTTCAACGTTCAACGTTCACGGGGTGGTAGCTTGAAGATCAGATCCTGAAGAAGTATGAGTGAGAACTGAGCTCTCGGCGAGCATTGAAGCTTTTTTCCTTGTCGACATGGTGGTTCGAGTGCGGCCCATGATTTCTGGGTCAAACAAGCGCCTCGGGAGGTCCCCGAGTACCTACCGCGCTCTATTTACTAGGGTAGTATGTCTGCCAATACTACTTAATCAAGGATTAAAGATATGGCACTGGACCACCGACGAGATCATCTCTGTCTTTCGAAAGAATTATCGGTTTCGGAATTTGCACATGAAGAGAATGAATATTGTTTATAATAAATTCAGCAATGCTTTCAAATTCGAGGCCCTTTTCACTCTAAGAGGGAGGCACCGGGTTTATTCGAATTCAGCTGCGCGTGCGCGCGTCGAGCTTATTGGAAATCAGCCTCGACTTGCTTGGACTTTGGAGCAAAGTTTCGGTCGTACAAAGTACCTGTACTAGACAAACTACGGAAAGGCAGTAAGTAGTACACTACGCCGACAAGTTGCTGAAAGAAAAGGGAAACAAGAGTAGTGACTAGAAGATGCCAGTGCATCGACATCAGCGTTCGCAAATGCTCCCACTGTTGAATATATTGCGGCAACGATTGGACGAGGAGAAGATTATCGCTATGGTAAATCCCTACCTTGGACTTTGTCCAAGGCGAGGAAGACCAGTGAGTCTGAGTATCAGAGAACTCAGACATGGTATATATGTAGATTCCGATATGGCCGCTGGCGAAGGAATTTACAAGTGATAGTATGACGGGAGCTGGACAAGCTGGACCAAGAGCAAAAGTCACTCAAGGTCCGGGGTGCTAAAGAATGCTTGGATAGCATAATGCGTACACATTACACATACACAAGCGAGTCGAGTGTGTGTGTGTGTGTCTATGGAAAGCCATGGAGGGGTAATGACATGGAATCTGGATGCCAAGCCGGAATGGAACTGGAACCGTTGAACCGAAAAGATAGCGGTGACAGGATGAGGCGAGGTGACAGCAGATGCGATATGTCGCTCTCTCTACAGGACCCGTTTCCAACACAAGGTAACGAAGCGGGTAGCGTAGGCGGAGGTGACACCAGGGCGACGGTATAGAATGACTAGAAAGCTACGTTCCCGATGGAACAAAGGAAGAGCCATGGGCCGTAGCCACAGACATGAGCTCGACAAGGGAGAGGGGGTATATTGCTATCGAACGGGCATGAAGATGACAATACACCGGATCGATAGAGGCGCGACAATCGTGAGCAGCAGGTATAAAGAATGGAGCCTGAGCTTCTAGGTAATCGTAGAATGCATCGAGGACTCAGGACAGAGGTGATGATGGTACATAAAAGGGAAAGAAAATACCTAACCTGTATTTATACGAAGCCTCTTCAGCTGTGCTGGAATGAAGGATCAGTGATGCGGCGTGAAATTAACGAGTAATAAGAATGTGCTTGCAATTGGTGGAGAATGGTGATACAAATCGGAAGCGAGGAGCTCGGAGCGTTACAGCCATCCACAATAATATTATCTGAGGGTATAACTCGGGTGTAATGGTCTACTATGGATTGACACTGACAAGAAAGCGTAAACGTACTTGGTGAAACTGTAGAGAAAAAACACGCACCAATATAATTACTTCAATTTTGAACGGTTTTATACCACTCGCACGACGAAGAATCCGAAATAAATGAGACTCAGAGATGGGATGGTTGAGGAGAAGAAAAAATAACAGCACGTGAACTGCTTGGATCTAACTCTCATCGAGGCCGCGCGCGCTCTACTTCGAATGCTGCTTTAACGCGTCCATGCCTTCTGCCGCTCATGTAGATGATATTGACGACAAGGATCTAATCCAAATATCCAATAAACCTCACGCATTACTCCCATTCCTTCAGCTACAATCCGCAACATCTCTCAGTCGCTTGTACCAGAGCCCTTCTTCATGTCTCTCCATTTTCCGGTCAAATAGTTCATTAATTCTCCAATTCTACTACTTCTAACATTGAAATCAGGCTGCTGGATGCTCTAGAGAGACAGCTTGTGATGAATCTGTTGTGGCTCGAGTCTGCGATCGCTCAGACGACGTTGGGTGTTTGGGTTTTTCAGGAAAAGAAAAAGTGCGTGCATTTTGTCCTTATATTCCATCCGAATAGTACTCACTCGTCGAGTCAGGCTGTACGATGATGCGCTGGACATGTTATCAAAGCTTCATATCCTACACATTCATTCTGCTAAACTTTCCCTCAACGGTACTTTCAAAACGAGTCTGCGTCATGCCATTACTGGAGGGTGCGTATGCGACTGTATTCGCCTTGTCTTCTTTTCCTCAACTCAATCTATGTAGTGGTACAACTGGAAGCTTCGGTGTTCCAGCTGAGAAAGACGAAAAACGCCCACCAATGGACGTAGAAGGCCTTGACGCGTATGCTTTGGAACGCTGGGAGGTGAGCGGGCTCCTGTTAATGTATTCATGCCGCGCTGAGCTCTACTTAGACCATTCTACACTTTATGGTTTCATCGGGAACAGGTCAAAATCCTACACGGCCTTCCCAAGGAGTCCTCTACCTTTTACAGCGTAGTGGTTTGATGAGTAACCAACAGTGAGCTTGTTTTCGCTTGGCTTTCGCAAATCCTGACCTTCATCAGTGGGTCACTACCCCAAATTACATCTGCAGGATTTCAGTTTCTGCTTCATCCCCCTCATGCGCAGTTGTGGGATTTATTACTACAATACCTACATATGGCCGAGGTACGTTCAATATAATCATAGATACTCGTAGGGAGCTGACAATCACTCTATGTACAGGAGAGACAGATGGACCTAGTCGAGGTCCTTACCTTTTTCTTCATGTTATCCACAATGGAGCTCGGTCGCGTAACACCTCTCTCTCCCTTCTCCCATCCTCATTCGCTCATCCCTACATAGGAATACCTCACAGAAAACCTCAGCCAGACACAAAAAGCAATGTTGGATGACCTTCGAGATTATGGTCTCATTTGGCAGCGACGGGTGCGTTTTCTTTCCCCTACCCTGCCGATCTAACATCGCATTCACTTTACGTAGCCTACATCCCGCCGTTTCAGCCCCACTCGACTCGCCACTACCCTCAACTCGTCTTCTCCATCTCTTCCTACGGGCGCCAGTACCGGCGCAGGTGCTGCGAGTGGTTCACAGCAACAACAGGGATTCATTGTCCTGGAAACCAATTATCGGGTTTATGCGTATACAGGTATGTTAATGCTTTGCTTCCTTCGTTTACTTTCTTTCGAACCCTTTTTCTCTCTCTATAGATAACCCCCTCCAAACAGCCGTCCTCAACCTATTCGTCTCGTTAAAATATCGTTTCCCCAACCTGGTTGTCGGTTCTATCACCCGAGATAGTGTTAGACGAGCATTGAATAATGGGATTTCTGCTGATCAGGTTCGTTCGGCTCTGAACCCAATTGATCGTAATCGTTAGTTGTTAATCGCTGGGCAATGTTTAGATTATCAGCTATCTGATCACTCATGCACATCCTCAAATGAGAAAATTCGTGAGTCTTTTCGCTCGGTTGGAACGTTTTGTTCGCGACTCACATCACTACTGTGGTAGAATCCCCTTCTTCCCGTTACCGTTCAAGATCAAATACGTCTATGGGAGTTGGAGAAGGATCGATTGAAATCTCAAGAGGGTATGTACCGTCTCCAACCTCGTTTCCTTGTCATTTGCTCTTCGCCAACTAACCCCCCGCCCTTCCTCCTTATCACTCTCCTCCATCTAGGCTACCTCTACACATCCTTCGCATCCCAAGGGGACTATGAGCTCGTTCGCGATTACGCTAAACAACTAGACGTCGTAGTATGGGAGAACGATGCTAAGCGGTGTTTTTTCGGTACTCTTGAGGGACATGCGAATATAAAGAGTTTTGTTGAGCGGAGGGGGGTTGGTGGGGATTATTAGCTATGGTGTTGTAGTGTTTTGGTGTATTTGTGGCTGGGTTGGTAGAGGCGGGGCGGACCTGGAAGATCAGAGGGGGGGCTCAGCTGGTGGGTATTATCTGTGTTTGTTTGTGCATTTGCGATGAGAGGGCAACTTGGAAGAGGAGGGCTCTGTTGCTCAAGGCTTGATTGTTTGCATAATGTAGAGTGCTGCGTTACACCAGCTTGGTGCCTAGAGAGAAAGAATATAGACGATTAACGAGTATTGGCCGCCTGGCGAAATGGCATCGCGTCTGACTACGATAATAGGAAGAAGGCATAGATCGTATCAGGAGATTGCAGGTTCGACCCCTGCGGTGGTCATTGCGGTCCTGCTCGACGAAGAAGTGTTATTATTTTTTTCCTTATTTTTTCCTTATTTTTTGAGCGTCGGCCTTGAAGGTGGCGTTCGAACTTTTGAAAAACATCTGTTCTTGATTGATTTTCGGTGGACTGATTCATATATAAGTTAATCTTCCAAGTTCTCAGGCACTTAACTCTGCCTCTGGATGCTGTCAGGAAGCTTGCGTTGCTGGTTGCGTTGCCGCAGCCTAGATAGCTTGATGACCTATAACGTGGAAATGGATCATTGGACAGCTTAGTGACTTATAGCACTAAATTCATGCTGGCCCTTATGCATGAGAACTGGCCGCCTGGCGAATTGGCATCGCGTCTGACTACAATTTGAGCATGGAAAGCTAGTATCAGGAGATTGCAGGTTTGACCCCCGCGGTGGTCAATAGGGTTGCTCAAGATTCCGTTGGTTCTAATTTTTGCAAATTTTGAGTGTCGGCCTTGAAGATTTTTGAAAAAAAACATCTATTCTTGGTTGATTTTTGGTGGACTGATTCGTATATAAGCTATCTTCCAATTCCTCAGGCGTGCCTCTTGACTTCTAACATGAGAGCGCTGTCAGGAAGCTTGCATTGGGATTCTTCTTCTACCCTATTCATGGCTATCTATTTCTAACTATCCCAACGCTTTGCATCAAAGTATAACCACCTGGCAAAATAGCTTTGCGGCAGCGCCAAGCGTCGAGTTCCGGTTGAGTTCTATAATATCACAGGTCCAATACCTGTCCTGGTCAATATGCATTCAACTGATACCCTAATGTTTTGTTCACTTACGTATTGAGTGTCGCAGCCTTGGAGGGGGAACATCTACATGTGGTATTTGATCCTGAATGAAAAATAGCCTTTTTTGTTGTGATGTTTATTTTCTTATCTCTCTGGTGCTCAATCCTAACTTATCCATGGCTCTATCTACCTCAATGCTTTGAGGAGCCTATATGCCTCTTATATGGCTTGAACCAAGTTCCTTCGCGCGCCAGGTGCACGAGCTGACGAGGGCATACGAAACCCAGATAGACTCTGGTAGAGTCTAGTTTCAAAGCCCAGCTTAAGAGCGTATACCTGAAGTACATAGTCCAGACTTACAGTTAGTAGACCAGAATATTGAGTTCTTTCACCTGGCCAAAATTAAACTGCAATATTAGGAAAAACATTATGTGAGCAGAGGGTCCTTGACGATTGCTGTCAATGGACATCTGCAAAACCTGGTTGGTCTCCAGAGGTCTCCAGAGATCTCCAGAGCTCTGACAGCTGTCAAAAAGCTGTCAAACTCCTCCAGGCGTCTCTGGAGGTCTCTGGAGATCTCTGGAATTACTATCCTTGCTCCAGAGACAAAAGAAATGTATTGTGATGGTACAGGTTTTGCTGATGGAACTGTCAAAAATGAGTGAGGCCTTCTGGCTTTCCATACTAAAGGACCATTGTTGGGTGATTAATTCATCGCTCTGAGCATTGGCTGCTAAGTAACAGTCTCTTGAGTCTCAGCCTTTATATCAGATACTGATGCCTTCCAGCTGAGCTGTTGAGTCATTCCAGAATCCCGAATCAATTCCTTGTTCTTGACACTATTTGATATCCAGTTGGTGATGTTCTGTTCAAGATGGTCTTTTGCCTTTGTCCTCAAATGGCTATGGTATCTACTGCGCTGCATCAGCATCTGTCAAGTCGTTCCAAAAGGGCCAAGGCCATCGTAAAAAGCAGTGTGTTGATGGATCGAGTTGACCGGGTTGCAAGTTCTATATACTGTACTATTTCAAGTAGTGGAGTTCAACTCCACCACTGTGATGCCCAAAACACCAGAAATTTTCGTAATGTTAATTTTGGCTGAGAACTCCACTTTTTGAAGTTCTTACTGTAACGCATAAACAGCATTTAGTCGTAATTATACAGTAAGTATACTGTACTATTTCAAGTGGGAGTTCACCCATCGTGATGCATTATGGCTCGTCGGACCCACTAATTCACTAGTTCAGATCCCCATATAGATTATGATGTTCACTTGAATTGCTCGTTCTGGCATAGTCAGCTACCAAAAAAGGTAGATTAGGTGCCCAAAACTGGGGTTTCACTGGTTCAGTAGCTCTGGTGATGTGTTACAATCATAGGAACTGCATAGCTCACACAACCATGCTATGCATTATGTGAGCTCCCACTCAAAATGGTACAGTACACACAGTCTATCTGCAAGTGAAATATGTCTGGAAACCAGATTACCATAAGATGTGAGTTAAATTATGGTTTGTCACTGATTGACTTGTTTCATTGGGTTGAGCGAAGATGCAGCAACCCATATCATTATCAAGTCAGGCCAATCAACAGATTGAACACATAGTTACAATGAGTTCTTGAGATATGATATCCAGTTGCTAATATGTATATCTTGTGCCTTTCGTTCTCAAATGGCATAGGCTGAGGTATAAAACTGTCAGTCTGGCAACATATTGCTTCTCATCCCCCACCATGTCTGACCCTTGCCCAGAAGATGCCGTATGCATTCTCAATACTTATTCTGGTTTACAACAATCATTATATCAAGTGCTTATTATACCGGTTGCAGTAAGTGAACTTGGTTATTTTACTGGTGACAGAATCCTTACTGGATCACTTTCCCCTTTGCTCGGTATGGATCAGACTGAACTCCTACTATATGGTGAGTACTTTTTCAATAAACGGAGAAATCAGAGGTGTCAACAACTTGAATACTATGCAGGAATTTTTTTAGTCCTTTTTGGCTTGAGCATATATGTTTTTCGCTACAGATTTACACCTGGCAAATTGTATATCACCGCAACATGTCTCTTTTTCATACTAGCCACTGTCTCGATTGTCCTTGATCTGGCTCTCAGATGTATGTTTCCAATTCGGCTCACAGGGCACTTTTTCCCATCACTGACAGTGCTGTATTTGACAATGAGCTTGCTTCATACAATTTATATATCTCACTTCAATCTGCTCTTGAATATATTTTCCTGGTTGCTGGGTAAAACTTGTTTCACGAAGCACTTCCATGCTTGCTTACTGTAGTTTATATCCAGGTTGCTAGGAGACATTGTATTAGTAAGCCTATCATTTTGCTGGCCGTGATAATTGACTCAATATTTCTCAATACTAGATACACCGGTGCTATCGATTATGGTACTCCAGGAAGCATGTTATCATCATTCCACTATTGGGTGTTCTGGTAACTTTGAGTGAGTCCCTGAATAATAATTTGATAGGTTCTAATTTTATAAATCTTCAACTTTCATTTAAAATTTGAAGTTGTTTGGATAGTGCTTGAAGTTCTGGAACGACAAGAATGGGGAACACCAGATGTCTCTGAGCAGAATTCTGCTATCAATGGCGTGTTTGAAATCTACATTGTTGTAACTTTCACCCAAAACCTCATCTTAACTGGATTAATTGGTAGGTCAATTATTTGTGTAAGCATTAGCCATTGAAGTATACATACTCATATTACTGGTTCACAGCCGGAAGATTGTGGTGGTTAACCTACAAGATGAAAAGGATTTTCAGCAGCCAACCTGCTCAAAGGACTTCTCCAAATCTTCTTGGACCCATGTGAGTATTCAAATATTCATTTTGAAAACTACCATTGATCTGAAACTTATCTTTTCAGCATGGAATCTGGCCTTCTTACACCAATGTTTCTTCTGGTTTGGGTGGGTTTGAATTTTAATGGAGCAACTGCATTTGCTCTGTGGATAGGCTTCATCAGTCCATGTGTACTGACACAAGTTGTGGTAGGTTTCTCTCCAATAGCTTGAAAGTGGTTTTTTAAATTGGTTTTACATTACTACTAGGGTATAGCATCAACATTGATTGTTGTGCGTATTGGCCTTGGAGTGGATGCTCTTTCCTCAACTCAGCTTCATCACACACTTGCTGAAGATGCTGAAAACCAGCATGCCTCTGATTTGGCCACTGATGATCACAGTCACATCTCAGAGGGCAATGAAAGCATTAGGCCCAGGGGACTGGAAATCCAACCTTTCCAGCTCAAATATGACAAACCTATAGAAAATTTTCCTTCTATGACATACCATACTTCAACTCCTGCCAGCAGTAGTTGCATCCAAAAAATAGTTCAGCCTTATCCCAAGGGCAAATATGTCAAACCAAACAATTGAATTGAATCAAAGGTTCAAATAAGTACTACTTACCTCCTTTTATTGCATTTAATTTAATTTATTACTTAAAATCCAAGAATGTGCACAGGTGCAAATCATACCTCTGCTGTTGTTCGAGGCTTGATTGTTTGCATATTGTAAAGTACTGCGTTACAACAATTTAGTGACCTATAACACGAAAATTGATGTGAGTTGTCAAGAATGACCGTCTGGCGAAATGGCATCGCGTCTGACCACAATATGAACATTCGAGATTGCAGGTTTGACCCCTGTGGTGTTCCATAGCCTCTTGCTGCAAAACTTCATTGTCTTCTTTTTTTAGAACTTAGTATGCCATGTCGCAGTCTTGGACTCGAAGGGAGAGATTTGAATCTGAACCAACTGGACTCCAAGTGTAGAAGAGTTATCCGTCCTAAGAAGGAACGGGCATTTTGCTAGTCGGGTCAAAGCAGCGCTTCACCTGGGGCAGAGGAAGAATAAACAAGTCTACAGGCTCGAGTATCCGTGTTGTAGTAGTGGGATCAAACGAGAATGCAAAGACTTCGTATGAACAAAGCGTTTGCGTGATGACGACGCATCTTGAGTGGCAAGAGGGACGCAAATACGAAAAAGATCGAGAAGAGCGAGAGAATACCTTCTAGCGTGATCTCGATAGACGAAAGCACAAGCGATGACTGCTACACCGTAGACAGTCAATGATAAAAACAATCTGGTGAACTACCGTTCACGCAGATGATGGAAGTAAGAGTGCAAGAAGGAAACTTGCTTTAGCGCCCTAGCGCAGGGTACAAAGTACGGAATACAAGTGCTACATATGGTAAGCCAAGGCCGAGCCGTCCGGAGAAGTGTCTAGTTTAGTTCAAGTCGCGTCGGGGTACCTCTTAACGTAATCCCGCACGTCGATAAGAAGTGAACGAGGCTTCTAGCAGAGTTGGCTAGGCTCTGGCGACGTGCTGGAGGCCCGGACGACGACTATCCCTTCGCTATCTCCATCTCCATCAAGCGTATAGTAGGATATCGTAGAGACCATTGGTCTGAGGACGGAATGTATAGTAAGGAAGAAAGATTAAAAGGGAGACTTATCTATGAGTGGACCGTGTAACTCTACTACACAAGTTCCTTCGCCCCAGATGCGCGAGCAGACGAGGGCATACGAAAGATGCTTGACTGTTTGCATATATCTTTTAGTAGTACTGTCGATAGCTTGGTGACCTGTGACATGATAAGATACAAAATTGGTTCAGTATGACCGCCTGGCGGATTGGCATTGCGTCTTACTGTGATAGCAATGTATCAGGATTCAGGATATCGAGGGATTGACCTCTGGATGGTCATTATGGCTGTTCGAGCCTTCGGTTCTGTCTAATTTTTCTAATTTTTGAGTGTCGGCCTTGACGGTGTCATTTGAACGTTTGGAAAACATATATTCTTAATTGATTTTTTCGTACTTACTTGAATTTTCTCAGGCATGCCTCTTGACTTCCAACACGAGGGCGCTGTCAAGAAGCTTGCGTTGGGATTCTTCTTCTACCCTATTCATGGCTATCTATCTCTATCTATCTCAATGCTCTGAAGAGCCTCTATGCCTTCCTTCGCGCGCCAGATGCACGAGCTGACGAGGCCATACGAAGCCCAGATAGACTCCGGTTTCAAAGCCCAGCTGAAAAGAGTATACGTAAAATCCAAGAACGTGCACCACATCTTTGCTTTCGACTCCTTGTGGTCCACTTCCCAATTAACGCCTCGAGCACATTCCACAACGCCTGCCAAGATCTGCCAAGCTCTGCAGTCGATGAAGGCTATTCTTGACTGTAACAGATGGCCTGGAACCTGTTGAGTTCCTTTGACACTCGGCTCGAGCCCCCCTTGAAACTTGATCTCTCGATGTTCTTCTTGGAATAGACCCAAGATAGTCGCTATTCAAGCAAAGATGAACCCGCATGGCCTACAACTTATCTATCTTTGATCATCTCTCCCGAAGACCCCCTCGAAAAAAAATAGAAAATCTTCGGCGTTGTTTCGTATGGCGTTCTCGACAACTGACCCCGTGTTGCATTCGAACCATCTGCTCTTCTCCTCCAAGTTTAGAAGCCTTTTTGCCGAGCATTACACTCAACAACTTTCGACCTCCTTCATCATTCTTCTGTGATACGCACGTTCTCATCTAATTACTAACACTCCCCTAGAAAAAATCTTGGAATATCGACAACCAATGAAAGCCTCCGACCCGTAGTTTATAAACACTCGTGCTTATCAGACAAATTCGTGTCCTGCACTTACTTCCAGCAAAGATGGTCGCTCTAACTGGTCTCTTACGCCCCGCTGATGGCAGCCTCTTCAATCGGCGGCTCACTTAGCAACAGAGCAGCATCGATCAGTCTCTGGTTGTCCCACTAATGGTGCTCTGTCTTGCTCATCTAACGCGAAGGGTACATGCTGCTTTGAGGCGCCTGGCGTAAGTCTTTCCTCTTACTAAACCGTGACGAAAACTGAATTACTATATTTTTGAAGGGTCTCATTCTTCAAACTCAGGTAGCTCTTTCGCGGACGTCCTAGAACAATCTGAAGTGACTCACTCTTCCATAAGTTCTGGGATACTAGCCCTGAGACGGGTCCAACTGATAGTTTTACTATCCACGGTCTCTGGCCTGACAAGTAGCGTGCTCTGAATCGATGTATGTACCGATACTTGACAATCCCATCCAGCTGTGATGGTAGTTTCTCAGAAAACTGCGATTCTTCCAGGGACTACACTGGTATCTCTAGCGTCCGTGAAGTTCCCTACTTGATATAGACAGGAGACTCACACAGAATCATTTGTACAGTTGCTCTCTGCGCAAGGCGCGACCACGACCCTTGACTTCATGAACCAAGTATGTAAATGACACTATGTCTAAATTCTTTCGCAATCTAATGGTTATGAAGTTTTGGCTTAATGACCCAGACGACGGCAGTAACGAAGAACTCTGGGAGGTGAGTCACTACATGGCTTTTTTTTTGTGCCGTATTCAATAAATATTCCTCTAGCATGAGTGGGCCACCCACGGTACTTGCTACAGCACGCTCCAAGTTGACTGTTTGCCTAAGGGAAGTGCTAAGGGCGCTGAGGTAACTCTATTACATTCCTCACTTGCTATGAAAAAATTATATCGCTTGAACAGGCTGTTGCGTTCTTCGAGCAAGTCGTAACCATATTCCAGGTAAGTTTATTCTTATGCATCCTTTGTACCAACTTTGTACTCATAATATTATACAGACTTTGCCTACTTACACATGGTCAGTATTTTCTTCAGCTTCTGCTACTTATCTGCACATTCGAATCAATCACTATATCCAGGTTGACCAACCAAGGAATCACTCCGAGTTCTTCCACGACCCACACGTACAAGGCTCTCACTGCCGCGCTTGAGGCCGAGTCTGGTGGATTCGCACCTCAGTTGGAATGTGACGGAAGCGATCTAAGTGAGGTCTACTGGTATTTCAACCTGAGAGGTTCGGTGATCGATGGAGATTTTGAACAGATTAGTGAGTATCTATCTATTATCTCGTCGCTTGGGTCTTGGCTAGGAACTCATATGTGCCTGCTCCTTCAGCCTCTCCCTTCACCGGAAGCTGCCCCTCTAGTGGTATCAAATGGCTCCCCAAGACGAAAAAGAACTGATGCTTTGAACTTCTTTCCTGACGTATTACTCTGGGTTTTTTTTTTTGAATCTTTAAATGTTGAACAGAGCAATACGATGATACTTTTTTCCTTCACATTGGACGATCGTTGGACGACATTGCTTTGAGCAGCTGAAATCTATACTACATGTAGGAGTTCAACGGAAGCTTCTGCATACCAGGTGAGAAAGACGAAAACAAGCTCACCGATGGACATAGTGGAACACCAGGAGGTGAGGAGCTCTGTAGCGGTATGGACTGAACTCCAAGGCAAGCCCTATTTAGACCATTCTCCTAGAATCCCTCTTTTCCTAATAACGAGACGTCGTAGTATGGGAGAACAATGCGAAACGGTCTACAGAGGGGAGAGGGGTTCAGTTGGTGGCGATTGATGTAGGAGGAAGCGAGAGAATGAGAGGGTCTGAGGAAGGGCTCAGTCGCTTGAGACTTTACATTGTACGTAGCCTTGGTAATGTTTGATAGGAGAACAAAGTTTGGAATGGCCGCCTGGCGAAATGGCATCGCGTCTGACTACGATTTCCGTAGTAATTTCGTCGTATCTATCAGGAGATTGCAGGTTCGACCCCTGCGGTGGTCATCGTTTGAACGTTCTTTGTCGTAGTTTTTTCTGAAATGGTTGACCCTGGTAAATGCCAATCCGAACAATCCTACAAGAGAAGAACTAATATTTCACTGATTATGATATTACTACGGAATATTCTGAAGACGTTCGAATTTTTCAGAAGAAAACAGCATAGATCCCAACAGCGGTCGCCAACAAAGGCAGGGTACCCCTTCCAAAATTCAACAAATTCCACTTTTGCAGCAGTTCCTTCGTTCCGTCATCCAACAAGGTTTCAGCGCCATTCTTGGTCCTCTCCCGTACCGCGGCTGCTTTCGCATGCAAGGCTCCATTGGTAGACCACATTACCAAAAACGTATACGGAACGATAGATATGGTAAGAAGACCTGCGATGGCCAAGAGGCTACGGGTGTTGTGAATAGATTGGATGGATAGGGGGTTGGGGAGGTAGTAAGCTGCGTAGGCGAAGGATGCAGCAGTCAATAAAGCGATAGGTGGGTTGGCGTTTCTTCCTCGGGTGTAAAAGTTCTCCCAAATGCTGGATGCGTGGGCAGTAGCGGAGGCTGGGAGACTAGGATCGAGGAGAGCGTCGCCTGCGACGTATGAGCAGGCCATTATCGCCCCTGTACATCTGTATATCAGCTCAACTTCAAATTGAGCATAGATGAGAGAACATACCGGAACACCACGCAGATCCACTCAACCCCACTGCTACGGCAATATGAATGCCACTGGGTAATGCAACAAGGGCCATGTTATGATAAATTCAAAGAGAAGTTGTTGCAGACTTCACGGTTGAGTGGAAGCTTTATATGTAAACCATTTGAGCCGAAACGCGTCACCAATCAAGTAAGCAATTCGCCGTTCAACCGTCTCACTGGCCTGGACTCGCGCATTGCAGCGCCGACGCGAGTCCAGGCGCGACGTCAGCACTACGGCCGCCGGCGACGAGCACAAGTCTGTATTCATTCAAACATTTGACGCACTATTGGAGAAATCAGGCGTCCGCTACTTGAAGCCAGCTCGAGAACTCGAAGCATCGCAAAAAGAAAGAAGAAGACTAAGGAAGAAAACAGCTAGCTTCAAACAGCCAGCGTCCGTGGGCGCCTGAGCAGTTTTCAGCGTCTAAATATAATTCCGAAAAGCAACCACGAAAGCTCATGTTTAGGTATAGTCCGCTTCTATCCCTTAATCCCCTAGCTCTCTGAATCATCTCCCAGGAGGCCTAGCTAGGAAGGTACATGTGCACGTCATTTTACCTTCACGGCCCACATTTTTACAAATAACAGACAACGCAAAGGAAAGGTAAGAAGTACATGACTTTGTGGAATGCTGGTAACTGAATTCATACAGTGCTCCTGCAGTTCATGCGACCGAGTTCCATTCTGACGCCAACCGGGATCGGCCATCTACCAGTAGAGCTCCTCTCATTGATTTTTCTCCATGCCTGTTCCTTTCATACTGCCGATCCTCCATTCGAAAGAAAGCGATCTCCAGCTCCTCTGTCATTGACTGCCATAAACGGATGCACAGCGCTCATTCTCAGCCAAGTGTGTCGAGAGTGGCGTTCTGTGGCGCTTTCTTCCCCGGCAATCTGGTCCTATATTTCATTCTCTCTTCCCAATATAGGGCAAGGGATTGAGGACCTGAAGAATGAGCTCGAAGATTTTTACACCGAGGAAGATCGCCAGGATATCACGATGCTCAAGAAAATCAAACCGGTCACTTTCTACAGACCGTTGTATTGGAAGAACTTGATGAAGATGTTGGCTCTAGAGGATGACAATGGTTGGAGGGCTTTGGAAAAGCCCATCGACTTCACCCTCCCAACGGACACTGAAATTAGCGGCAGCGAAGAAGATTCAGCAGATTCTGTTATCGAGTCATATGCTGATTCAGAGAATCACTTCAGTTCTATCACCATGCTCGAGAGGATCTCGTCTACGACTCCCTCATTGGAGCCCTTGGAGTCGCCCATTTCCCTCTACCTACATCGATCTCGCTACGAACCTCTCTCTATTTCCCTCAGGTTTCCAATCTTGGATGAGCTGGAGAATCGAATGCGGTCGGGACCTTACGCGATTTTCACTGATCATCTCCTCCAATTGACATATATCCTTGCCCGACAATGTCATCGCTGGTCTCAGGTCGATCTAGTAATGAATTCAGAAGAGTATTTAGACGCCCTCCTGCCAATGGCACGCTCGTTACCTCTTCTGCAGGACATAAAGGTCGTCCTTAACTCACTTTCAGCCGTGATAGCAGTAAAACCCCCAGGTATATTCTATCCCCACAATTGGCTAGGTCCCGCGCCCAAACTTCGTTCTGCGTTCTTTGAACGCTTTGCTATCGTTCGTAACCACGGACCAACATCTCCTGGATTCACTTTCTTAGATCACTGCACGGAGCTCACCATTCGTCTATACACCCCTGCCGAGGCACTCCCACTTGTTCGAGCTGTTGGACTGGCACTTCCGCCTGGGACTCCCATATCCGTGCGCTTGCAGAGCATATCCCACTCCGGTGATCACTACGATGATAAGCTCAATAAAATGGTCTCGCACGTATCGTCGCTGTCTATTACTGGGTACATCGAGAAAAGTCCCCTTCGGCAGATTCTTCGCTATTTACGAGCTCCAAGGCTCGAATCGCTCGAGATATCAATCCCGGATTCAGATCCTGTGATATATTCCTCTTTAAACGCACCCATAGCCATTCCCACATTCCTCCCTCTTCCGACTTTCCGGAACTTCTTCAAGAGGAATGGCGCAACGATTCGGTCTTTCACGCTGAAATATGTGCCTGTCCCGGCGCAACTTTTGCTTGAAATATTGAAGTTGATGCCTCGACTCGAAAATCTGGTCGTTTATGAGAGATCACCATCGCTCATTTGTGGAGTTGGGGACCGGTTTACGTTGAGTAACGATGTTATTGAGGTGATTTTGAATGGAGTTGTAGCCCTCGGTTGACGTACTTTGAAATGAAGACTGCCAGGATGCAGGATGCGGAGAAGTATTGTCGTAGGGACGATGGAGAAGGAGATCAGAGTGGCTTGAACGCTCTCGGGCTAGTAAGATTTGAATAATTGTAGGTTATTTTTGTATGTTGTATGTTATTTGAGATATTTCAGCGTAATCTCTAATGATACAATTTATATCAATTCAAGTCCTGGCTCGAGGTTGGCTCGAGAGCCAAATTAATTCAATGGAAACCTCGAAAGAAGTTGAGCCAGCCTGCTTGGCGAAATGCATCGCGTTGACTACGACTTTGCATTAGAGCTGTATACAGGTTCGACCCTGGGTGATGTGTTAACGATCTTTTGCTTAGAATGCCTTTCTTTGTTTTTTGAGCGCAAGCTCATATTTTCTTTTGTGAATTGTCATAATCTTAACCAACTTACTATCCATTCAGTCTGCAGATCTTCGATGCTTGTTAATCCTCCACATATGAGCGTGATGAGGAACGGAACAATACCAGATTTACAATTGGCGGTCTTTATAAATGCGGCGTGTATAAATTGGAATTTGGAGATATACATTTGGAGAGAGATTTCTGGCAGTGGTTTAATTAATCCAAACGACTAGGTGTTGGATGACTGGATCTCATGAACTGAAGTAGTCTACCCTTTAGGTAGGATAAGATGAACGGACGGTTAGTCGCAATGGGACTCATAGCTCAAACTCAGAGGGATCCATCTGGATCTTTGTTTTTGGAAGGAGAGGATACCTGCACGCAAACATTATCTTCCATTGAACGCTGCTTCAATGCAGAGCGCAAAGTCGTGATGATGCACACAGAGCCAAGATCAATAATCAGTTGAATACAACCCATAAACCTACACATAAGACTGCCCTGTTCACTGCTGCTGAATAAATACAGCCGTGTAAGATGGTACAACAAAGTTACTGTTTGCCGCAATGTTTATTGTTGTCTAACAAAGCCAAAAGTCAATACGCAACTCCATTAAATAAGTTGCTTAACTCACCTGCCACTTGGCCACACCAGCCTCACCACCAAAATGGCGCAGGAAGTACGTGCCGGCAGGAATATTTGAGATGGCGAGGTTAACTGGGACGACATCCTTGTTGACAATGACTATTGACACCTTTTCACCATCGGACGTGCTGGCGTAGACACCGAGGACATCTGGTGACACATTAGCCGTGGTAACCTGAACGCTCTTGTCGCCGAAGAAGGTCCCGTTCCTGTACATTGCTGAGTTCGGCTTTTTTCCGCAAAAAACATGTAACATACCCTCGGTAAAGCCAGAAAGCTAACCCGATGGGACCCTTCTGATCTGGCTCGGACCAGTATGTTGCCTGGTCCAGGCCATAAACACCAAAGATACCAAGTGAGTCAACGGTAACAAGGCCTCCAGTGATATCAGTATCGTCAGTGGACGACCATTCTGAGACGGAGAGCCGGGTGCCGGGATAAAACTGGTCGATGAGTTGCTGCATCCGGGGAATGAGCATGACAGCATTGGGGTTTGGCTCAGTCCATTGAGCAGGTACGGAAGTTCCGATCCACGACTCATCGATATAAGTTGGGTCTGTGAGCCCGCCGCGTTAGTTTCGCATGACCCAGAGAATAGGAAGACTCATATTTACCCCACCACGACCGTGTCATTCTAAGCCTAAGTGCTTTGCCGCTGCATCGTTAGCGCTAGTGTCAGGTGCAAAGTAGTAGTGAATGTCGAGGAAGTCAAGTAGACGCTTCCCGGCTTGGACCGAGGCATTGTTCATCTGCGAGAGGAACCACGGGATGAAGTCTTGGTTACCGTGGGCAGCATTGTCAGAGTAGCCAATGTCACTCGTCCAGTCTGATATTTAGGATTGTCAGGAGAAAATATTCGAATTAAAGATAGGCAGCGTATGCTTACAGTACCACCAAGCACAGGTAGAAGGTGCAGCCACCTCGACATTGGGGAGAGTGTCTTTGGCCATAGTCGCTGTCATTATGACACGTGCGAGTTCCTCGTCGTAGCCCATGGGGTCGGGGTGCATATCCTGGTG